GGCCCCTTTGGGTCTAGGAGGTTCTGATCGAAAGGATCCCAACTCCCCTCAGAACGGTACTGAGGTTCCTCTATCTCTCTGAGCTTGCGTCTCTCGTGTTTTATCTCTTACAAAAATGGACATAAGCCACACCCCAGGGAGGCTCCACTTACCTCTCAGATCAGGGATGTCACCTGGTTAAGGCTGTTGCATCCCACCCTCATCCACTTACATCAGATCACACCACGAGGATGATTACATTGTTACGTAGCTACCACATTGCCTCATTCCGTAACTGTCAAGTCACTGAGGATCACGTCCCAGCTACGTTGACACTCATTTTGGTGGGATCCAATTTAACCCATGACACTCACCGTGTGGTAGGCACTGTGCTAAGCCCCTTTTGTACCTCACCTGGCACAGATCGGCATTGCTCTGTCATTTCTGCTGTTACTCACAAATCACGGAGACAGAAGGGAGATGCACATACAAGCCCCTGTGAGCAGAGAGCCCGAGCGCTTAACCACAGCTCCCAACTCTCCTCGCACCCAACAAGGCACGACAGCCCAGCTGAGCACCCATTGCCTGTGTGCCGTGGAGCGTCACTGTTCTTGAGCTTCAAGAGGGGATGCCCAGCTTGGTTCCGGAGATGTGAGGAGACCATCGACTGCAACGTAGAGAGGACACGCTTTCAAAGCTTTAGTTCACTGAGCACTGACGTCATCGCCCAAGAAGGAAGTAAAGCTACAATTATTGTCCACAGATCACAAGCCTACAGGGCAGGACAGCAGGAAGGCCTCCCACATAGCACCAGGGAATTTGGGGCAGGTTGTCCTTTGCCTCAGATGGAGGCGTACTTACCTCAGACACATGGTTTTACGATGTCGTCATTCATTAATTGGGTCCCTTGCCTACCCTTGTGGCAAGTGAAAGAACGAATGAGATGAAGGCATGACCTCAGCAGAGTCAGGGCAGGGCAGTGCCCTGATGCAGAAAGCACCAAGAAACATTCTTGGGCATTGCAAGAGTCATTGTCCCAACAGGTGGAAGATTGTTTAGAGAGTCAGATTTAGGAGCCTGGGAGAGCTCAGTGATTAAAATGGAAGAGCCATCCCTGCTCAGTAAGGCCGTGAACCCCCTCACTCTGGGGCTGAGTGAATTTACTGGGTGCCTCCTGTATGCCAGGCCCCCGTGTCTTCTAAGTTCAGATGGTTGTTTTTGTCTAGCTCTCAGGAATTAGACAAAAATGGTCCTGGAGGATCATTACTACATAAATCTATGATGTATAACATATGTGATTATATATGTATATTATATAGATTACATAATATCTATTACACAGCTATTATTACAACTCAAAGAACAATCCCTCCCCCCCCAGAACTGCTTTCATGAAGCAATAGTTTAACCATTTTCTCCATGCAAACTTGAAAGTCTTCCTGTGGGTTTGTACATCTTAGAGTGTGTGATAATGACTGCCGCCAGTGTCCGTAACCCTGCCCCGCCTCCTGTCTTTCCCGTTGTAGTAGCTCAGAGGGACGGCCCTTCCGCCTTGGTACTGGCGCCAACATGGAGAAAGTTGTGAAAATGGATCGCGACATGACCAAGGTAATCTGACGGGGACAGACTGCCCTGACAAAGCCCCGGCAGGGGCCTGTCCGCCCTGCCTGAGGAAATGCACAAAACACAGAGAGAGTTCCCACCAAGGTCCCACAGGGAGAGAGTGAGAAATGGAAGCCCTTGACTTCACAAGTCCAAATCCATTTGTCGGGAAGGTTAGGACGTAAAAGAGAACTCTTGGTTTTGACCTAGACTCTTCGTTTCGGCTCAGCTCTTTTAAGAACGTTTCA